TATATCTTTCAAACACCATGCTTTAAAATGCCATGCTTATTTTGATAAAAGAAATCATGTAATACAATGTCAACCACTTTACAATTACCAAACACAATGCAACTTTCTTAGGTAGAATAAAATTGATGAAACTCATCACTCAAGTTGGAGACCTTGAAAAGGAGGTAGCTGACCAATGATAACTTCCTTTGCTTAGATGTACATTTTCCATTAGTTACTTGACATGTGTAGGTTACAGCCAGTTTATTTTCTAGGTTTGGAAAAACAATCAAATCTTACTAGGTAGGAGGATGCTTTTTCTAGGACATTTTCTATGATACATATACTTGGACAACCAAAAGGGCTTTCTGGGTTAGGATCAGATCAGAGTCAGGGCAAAACAAAACCAAAGAGGCTCACAACTCAGAATTCTGATAAGGTCTGTGTATGATGAAATGGAAGAACTTTTCAAATCCTATTTTGCATCTGTATTTTTCATCAAGAACTGTACAGGACAGAATGTGCGTGGTCAGTCACCTAAGGTCTATGAGAGCACCCAGTTGTTTGTGTGAGGTGAAGTCTCCTGACCCAGGAGTTTACATCCTGGGCCCTTGGAGATTTCTCAGGCTTCGGCTGAATATGCCACCAAATGTGAGAGGCATCCAAAGTGTGGGCTCTACACTGCACAGAAGGAGAACATGTGGCTTGAAACTCAGCTGGTGCTGTTTTCCAGCTATGACCCAGGGCAAATAACTTGGTACTTTTTATCTTTGGAACAGAAATGACAATACCTACCTGGCACGGGTGTTGGATGATGGGCGATGATAAATGCAAACGCCTTGCACTTCACAGAGTCTCAAAAGACATTATCAAGTCCACAGTGTAGTTGTAGAAATGTGATTATAGCTTCTCAAATTCTCTTTTCTCTAGAGTAGTTTACATGAAAGGAGATGCTAGTCTCATATTTTTAATCTTCATAAATCTGAGTGCTAACAGATTTCCTTATACATCACATCATGCTCTGGTGGCTTTTTTTATTCTGTGAAAAAAGGACTCTGCTGACACTGGATGAGAATTTCCATGATGCCTTCTCCAGGGAACTCCAGGGCTTTAACAAGCATGAGAGGGGCAGGCGGTGATCTCAAGGCTGCTGCATGGAGTCACTGGGAAGACCAACCGCTTTCCTCTCGGGCACCATTACTGGACTAGATGTGGGAAAGAGGACAAGGATGGCATATTTCATGTTTGTGAGGCAGACAAGGGGTCTTTCCTGATGTTCTCAGGACAGTCAAAGCAACAGTATATAATACTGAAAACAGGTTGAAGACCATCACTGATGGGTGCCGACTCTTCATTGTAAGGGAGCTGGTGGTTGGTGCAGTTTGTCGACTGTACTCATCTGACTGGTCTTTCTCATCTTTTCAATGATTTGCATGAAAATATGGGTAGCATGTTTATCAAATCTGTGGATGACTTTTATTATAAGTAAAAAATTGTCTGGGGTGCAAGAAATACAGCACTAAAACATAGTCATGGTCCCTGTGCTCAGTGCTAACAAACTAGCCGACAGAACCAGGAGCTAAAACGACCTTGGATGTATGGCCGATCCTGCTTCTGGGACAAAGATTTGGCATAGCAACAAAACCTTGGAAAAGGACTTAGGGTTTTAGTTGACAATATGCTCAATATCTGTCAAATAGCAACTTCCAAAAAAAGAAAAGAAAAGCTAAATGATTTTAAGCTACATTAATGGAAGTGTAGGCCCCAGAACGGTAACACTCTGCTCATCTGAACACTAAGAAACATTACATATGAACATTTCCATGAATCGCTACCGTGACTCTGGAAGCATGCTTTCTTAAGAATGTCATCATTTTCTTGTGGTGGGGAAAGGCAAGGGCACAGAATTCAAGACCATGTTCATCCCCTGGAGTTTCTGGTAATTGACACCCCCTACCCTCACTCTCCTGCAGACCTCTGTCAGAATCTAGAACAAGGGACTGACAGTTTACTCCCTTGCTTTTCGGGGCATGAGATGATGTATTCTAAGCACACCTGGTGTGAAGCTGGGGTTCAGTAAGGACTTATAGACTGAATGAATGAAGAAGATTTGCAATTTATATATCCAATTGCTGGTCGGTAACTGGTCAGCACAGGGACTCAAAACCAAGTCCTATGAGAAAATAGAAATATTTACTGAGAGGAAAAAGAATTTGTTGTTAAAAACTTGAGAACTGCGTGTGTGGAACAAGGTCTAGACTTTTTCCTGTTATACAAGGTGGAACGAAGGCAGGAGACACACTGCAGTCCACTGTAGGGAAGAACTTTCCAGAGGTCAAAGCCCTGGAGAAAGGACTGGGCCACCTGGGGGGAGGTGAGCTGCCCCTCTGTGAACTTCAACAGCTGTGCACGCCATCAAAAGGTACTGCACTTCATCTGCGTCTCAAAATAAATGAGCCAGCAGATTCCAAGTTGCCTTCCCTCACTTGCTTACCTTCAGTTCTGAGTGGAAGACACAGAGGTGGCCTCAGTGCACACATCAGGAGTTTCAGAGGGAATGTGTGGCACATGGGGATTTTTTTTGGTGAATTTTTGGGCTAGAGGCACTAGTTTTGTAAAAAAAAAAGAATTACTTTTGATGCCTTTTCATCCTGTGACTGTTATCTGAGTATACACATATTTATTTTTCTTCTCAATATAATCTAAGAGAACTAATATCATTGCAAAAGCTATACAATTTAAGGGCTGGTAAAAGGCAGATTTTATACGTAACCTCAGGGTATTGCAGTCAGTGTCTCTCTCTATTTCTACCTACTGATACATACATTTTTCAGTAAACTAAAGACATTTAATAATTTTTGATAAAATTTTTGCAAAAAAGCTCATTACAGACTTATTTTGGAACAAATGATAAAACACATTATGGTTAAAGAACAGATTTCTAGTAAAATGTTTAAAATGTTTTTTTCTCTCTGATTTGTTTGAGAATTGCTTTGGCAAGATGGTGCGGCTATGAAATATTCAATATCTGCTGAATAAATGCATGGCTGAATTGTTGCTAATGTTCTCCCCACTCGGGCAGCTATGGTGCTCACACCAGAGGAGAAACCAGAAGATTACTGGCTGCCCCAATTTGCATACTTGTGTACAAAGGAAAGAAGAAGTAATCATATCTCCTTTCTTCCTTAGGGAGACACAATAAAGAAACATGAATAAATAAAATGAACTAGCTGTGGTGTCCTCAATTTCAGATTTATGTAATTTTCCCACTCTCAGTCTCTGTCTCCTAAAACACAGTTTACAGGATAAGTGATACTGTCTCTATAAATGAAGTTAAGACTTACTGATATGAGAAATGTTAAAATCACAACATTTTTACATCAGTAATTACTAACTAACAAACTTCTTTTTTCTGTCTTTTTTGTGGTACCAAGCATTAAACCCAAGGCTACCCTGCCAATCCTTTAAAAAAATTTTTTTTCTTTTTTTTTTTTTTTCCAATTTTTGAGACAGGGTCTCTAGTTGCCCAGGTTGGCCTTGAACTTGGTATCCTCCTGCCTGAGCCTCCCGAGTAGCTGAGGTTAGAGGTGTATACCACCGTACGCACCCAGCACTAACAAACTTTTCTCAAAACAACAACACAAGACCCCGTCATGCTCAGTATACCTTAAGTCTGTTCAAATTCACAGAGGTCAGAGTGGCATACTGTTATAGCCCCTCCTCCCCGTCTTGGAGAATATCCAAGTACTGAAGAGGGGCACCAAATGGAAAGAAAACTGTTAATATCAGAATGCAGAGAGGAGTCGCCCTGAGCTCATTTAACGTGCAGTCATTCCGTAAGGTCTTGTCCTTGAACACTCAGTATATGAACAGTTAGTGACACCCTCTGCATGCCAGGAGCTGTGCTGAGTGGGAGGATACTGTAATGACCCACAGCAGACATCATCTGCTCCCAGGGAGCTTGCAGTCTGCTAGGGAGGAAAGAAGTCCAATGAGTTAATTGCAGATTTTGATCTATACTAAGAAGGAAAACTACAGCACACTAGTAGGAGTGTCCTCACAAAAAGACTCAGGCTAATGTGGTGGCCAGTGAAGGCTCCTCTGAGGAAGGAATGTCTGAGTAGAGATCCAAAGGTTATGTAAATGGAGAAAGATATGCTAGGAGGGAGGGCCATATGTTGATGGAAGTAAAGGAAGGCCATCAAGTCTAGAGCACAAGAAATGGAAGGGAGGCCAGGCATGGTGGTGCATGCCTGTAATCCCTGTGGCTCAGGAGGCTGAGGCAGGAGGATCATGAGTTCAAAGACAGCCTCAACAATTAGCAAGGCCCTAAGCAACTTAGTGAAACCCCCTGTCTTGGTGTTCAACTGCTGGTACAAAAACAAAGAAATGGAGGGGAAGGGTGACGTGGGAAGAGAAGAGGTGGCTAGCTGCATCAGGTAAAGTCCGAGGCAAGCTCTGATGTTTCCATGGCTTTAATTTTCATCTCCAAGCCAGATTCCTGTGATTACCCATTTTTTTTTTTTTTTAAGCACCATACCACTTCGGCTAAATATCTACACATGGATATTTTCATGTTACCCCCAACTCAAACTCTTTGTCTTTAACTGGACAACTGCAACCGTCTCCTAACTGCTTCTCCAGACGCACACCTATCCACCCTCATCACCAGAAACCATCGTGCATCAAGCTCAGGCCAGAAGCAGAGAATGGATCAAAGAAGATCCACAGGACTGTAACAGCCCAAAGCTGTGCATTCTTAGAATCAAGGATTTCCATTTGATTAGTTCTGTTTTCAGTAATATTAAAAAAACCCCACCTTGAATCTTAAATATCTAATTGTGTAAATACTGGAAACCATGTAAGTTAAAAATGAATTACTATGATTATACATTAAAATACATGACAAGCATGATTTTGGAAAGTGCATAATTTATTCCACTGAAGAGTTCATAATAAAATTAATTCTTAGGAACTTTAAAAATGAATTAGAAGTAACAATTAGATATAAAATTCCCAAATTTTGGAACCTGAAATATTAAGCTCTGAAATTTTCTTAAAACCTCTTTCTCATAATTAGCATAGTTTAAAAAAATATCATGCTCTTCCAAGGGAAAAAGGGGGATTAAAAAATAGACACACTGATGAAGGCCATAAATTCTTCTTGGCTGGCTTTATTCTCCACTGAAGCTCAAATATAGGATCATATTTTCTTTACTTTCAGGACGCTGTCACTGTTCTGTTTTCCAAAACCCTTAAGACAGAATGGAAAATGCTTATGCAAAATGACACAAGCCTTAACCATTCTCTGCAGGATTCATCATTTCAAATATCTCTAGTCCAACAGCTTTCCCAACACTACAGTTCTGTGAGTGAACTATGAATATTTTTAAATATTTTCCAGATTCATCATGGAGGCTGCTTTTCTTCTCTGTACTGTAATCACACTGAGCTGCAATTAAAATAAACAATCAGTAAGTAGTTACTTTCTCTATGGAAAATCTTAGATTAATACAAAGCACAATGGATCACAACCTACAGTTCTTGAAAATAATCTCATTGGAAGGGGTCTTGAAAGGTCATTTTTTTTTTTTGTTATTCATTTCTGTTTTAGTCTTGTGTGTTCACAGTGTCTGTATTACATGAGAGAAACGCATGTCAAGTATGACATTCCCCGGCTCAGAGTGATGTACTCAGAACTCCCAAACATGTTCCAGATGGATGAAAATCACCTAAACCAAAGTTAATCAGAAAAATGTCTAAACCACACAGTGAATGTGAGTGAACACAACGCAGCTGGTAGTAAAAAGATGAGAGGATGTAGTAAGAAAAGTCTAATAGTAAAATAATCTTTAGCTACTAATTTGAATTGTAGAAAAGATCTATGAATACAAGAGAATACACAGCACCGGGGACATGACCTTCCCATCAAGGTCTTTCATTCCACAGACACAACCACTCCACTTACAACCACTCCTTCCAGCTTTTAGGTGTATTTTTAGAAATACTCTAAAAGAGAATATGTATATATACACATATGTATTTCTTCATTCCTTTTTATTTAAAAATGATAAAGTCAATGTACTTTTCATTATGGCTTTTTTCTTCTAAATGATCTGAATTAGAAATAATTTCATATTAGATCTACGTTCTTCTTCTTCTTTTTTTTTTTGTTTGTTACTAGGGATTGAACTCAGGGCACTTGACCATTGAGCCACAGCCCCTGCCTTATTTTTGTATTCTTTTTAGAGACAGGGTCTTGCTGAGTTGCTTAGTGCCTCGCCATGGCTGAGGCTGGCTTTGAACTCCTGTTTTAGCCTCCCAAGCTGCTGGAATTACACAGGTGTATCATGGCCCCTGGCTCTACTTTATTCTTTCAACATTTGCAGACTATTCCCTGTGTGGACATCCATGACTTAACCTGTCTCCTGTTGTTGGGTATGCACATGGCTTTTAGTCTGTTACAATTGGAGACATGCTTTCTTCCTTGCAAAGACTTTTCCAGGTATAAAAATGGGTCAAAGATTATGCACATTCAAAATTTTGGGGAGATACTGCTAACCAGTCTCCAAAGAGGCTGTGTTGGTACACACCTACATCAGTAATGCACACAAGTGCCAGCACAATGCATTATCAAGTTTCAGGATCTGACAGGTGAAAATAATATGTGATTAATATTTAAATTTATATTTGTCTTGTGGGTGAGGATGAGCATCGTTTTAAAAGATTAAAAGACATCTGTCTTTCCTTCTCTGTAAAAACTTTTTATCCACTGTCTATTGGACAATAACATTTCTTTCTCTTTTTAAATTATTTTTTTAGTTATACTTGGACACAATACCTGTATCTTATTTTATTTATTTTTATGTGGTGCTGAGAACGGAACCCAGTGCCTCACACGTGTCAGGCAAGTGCTCTACCGCTGAGCCCCACCCCGGCCCCAGTACTTCTTCCTTTTAAACTTAGGCACTTTTTCTGTGTACTCAGGAAACTAGCCTTTTGCTGGATGTGTTGCATATGTCTCTCTCAGTTTGTCACTCGCTCTATGAAGTTTTTTTTCCCAACAGGTCCTTGTGCATGGAAGGCAAGTTTTCTACCATTGAGCTACACTCCTAGCTGTATGACTTGACTTAGATGCAGACATCTGAAATTTTATATGGTTACATTTATTCAACCTTTTTTTTTTTTTTTTTGTAGTTTCTAGCTTTTGTGTTCCTGCACAGAAAGGCTTTACCACACTGATTTTAAAAATGGTTCTGTTAAAAGAATGCAGTGTGGCATTCAACAGTTTAGAGTACTACACAGGACTGGACGAAGAACACACAGACAGAGGTGGTCAGAAGAGCACTCAGGGCTGCTCAGTACACTGCTCCTGCTGACCCCACACAGGAACCCGCAGCCCTTAACTCCTTTGTTTCAGTTAGTTTCTTGCCAATGTGGGACATTCTTTCTAAGAGCAATGTCCAGTTTTTAGAAGAAAAAAAATTAGAAAAAAAATGGGAAAATTGGAAAGCAGTCAGAGAAGGCAAAGATAAAGATGAAAAAATGAACATATGTCCTATAAGAGAAAATTTATCATTTGGTCTCATTTAAAATAAAAATAAAATCAACTCTAGAGCAGAAATTCTTTTTGTGTATGGGGAGAATGCTAAGTGGTTACTTCTTACCTTCCAATAAAACAGAATGGAAGGAGAAAAACTTTAAGTTTGTTACCAAAAAAATGTGAAGCGGTAATTGTCAAAACATAAAAGAGCTCTCAAAAAGAATGGTGGAAACTTTGCTACTAGTGAGTTTAAATGTCAGCAGGAACAAGTTTTGGACTGTTTAGGTTTAATTCTATCAGGAGGGAAACTTCATGAGATATCACATGGATTATATAATTAAGATTCTATAATTATACCCTTTTCACTGTTCAATGCAGGGTGGTTGGTTTTAAGTAGGCATTTTCTTTACCATATTTCTTTAAAAGGTAAATGTGTTAGCCAGGAATGGTGTTGTACACGTAGAGGCCCAGCTACCTGGGAGGCTGAGTAGGAGGATCACTTGAGCCCAGGAATTGGAGGCCAGACTGTGTAACATAGCAAAGCCCCATTTAAAAAAGGAACATAAGCTTTAAGTATTAATGATACAGAAATTAATTTAACATATAGCTGTCTAATTATTAAGCTCTATTTCATCTTTCAATAACTGTATGACGGAGGTGTTACTATCCCATATCAAACAGGAAACTGATTAGGAAGCTGAAATTGCCCAGTCACATGGCTTCTTAATGGCACTAGGCCACAGTCTTCCTATGTAAGAAAAATACTTATTTTGATAGAAACAGTATATTCATACTTAAATATAATTAATACTATGGAAGCTGCATTCTTTTTTGTTGCCTATTGCTCCATCCACCTGTCCATCAACTGCTTCTAGTCTCTTCGTTACCACTGAACAGGTCTCACTTCATTCCAAATAGGAGGGAATATTGCTCCTACAAATGGCCCATTTTATGTATTTATTTATTTAGTGCGGGGTGAAACCCAGGGTCAGGTGCACATGACGAAGGTGCTCTACCACTGAGCTACCTCCCCGACCTCTGACCTCTGGCCCATTTCATTTATATGATGTTATAAGATGTATTATGAGAAATTATTTGATTCATGTTCCTATTCTATTTCCCATTTGACAATTTTCATATTGTATTTTAGATTTATTTGGTTATCCATAAATGTGCATTAAATACAGTTCACTTGTAAGTGAAATAATTTTTCCACTTAAAGCCAGTGCAATATGAAATATTTGGAGCAATCTTATCTATCTGGGGGCGAGCATCTGCCTAGGTTTAGACAGACTGTGAGTCTAGTGCAGCGCTGACTAGCAGGCCCTTTTGTGGTGGCAGGAATGTTCTGTATTCATACCGTCCACTACGGCTTCCCATAGTGATCCAGGCTACTGAGCTCTTGAAATCTGGCGACTGTGACTGAGAACCTCAATTCTTAATTTTAATTGATTTAAATTTAAACAGTTGCCTATGGCCAGCAGCTCTCATTGGATAGTGTAATTCGAGATACAGATGACAACTGGATGATATTAAGATTTATTTTTGTTTTTAAAGTTCACTTTTCAATCACGAGTATTAAAGGGACTAATTTTAAATACATTAATCAAGTGAAAATAAAACTACTAGCTCTAGGGAGGTCTGAGCATGTCCACTATGTCTTAATAGTGATCTACTCAAACTGTTTACTATTTGGGGATAATGAGCATGCTCCCTACCTGCTGGGAAGCTGAAGCCGCTCTCTCTTCTGCCTGAGTCAGACGCCTTTGAAGTCTGTTGGCTTTTTCTTGATGCTCTAGAATTAGCTTTTCATTCTATTAAGAGAAAATATAAAACAAATTAGAAAGCCATATGTGACATGGAAATGTTTTGTGGAGAAAAATCTGTGTTGAGAGCCACAGCCAAGTCGGGGTGGCTCCTGGCATTTTGCCAGAGGGAGTGGTTGAGAGGTGATGCCAGCGAGCCATTGAGATGATGATGGTTAAGTTAAGCTGTGTATTCAGTTGTATATAGACCTTTGCTGTCTGGCAATAGGGCGGCTCCTGCTGCCTGGGCCGCTACTTTGGAGTTCTGGTTGAGTTCTCAAGGGGTTCCGAGAGAGTGGAGGGTGAGGGTGTTCCCGGGGAGCGTGTGTGGAGAGTGCCGGTGAGAGTTTTGGAATAAAGAGTTGCTGTTTGAACCCACAAGTGCTTCTTGGCGGCTCGGTTATTTGTGCCCAGCCAGACTGTGACAATCTGGACATCATATTCCCACTTAAAAATAAAAGATAGTATTATCTCCAAATTTACATTTTCCAAGATATGTGCTTCAAAGTATAAAGCTGGTTTTACATTCTTTATAAATTGTTTTCTCCCCTTCTATACCACCAGAAAAAGCAAATTAAGAAATTCAAAAGCAAAGTGAATTAGAAGTTAAGAGCAAGACTTTCAGTTTTTGATTGGTTAACTTGAGATGCTAGATCACTGCTTCAGAACCACCTGGAGAGCCTGTGACCTAAGGACCCTTGGGCCTTAGCACCACAGCCATGGAGCAGGGGTGCATCCCTAGAACACCTGGATTCTGCAGGGGCTCCTAGAGTCAACATGCTGAAGCCTGAACCCCCAGTCCCTGTGAATGTGACCTTATTTGGAAAGAGTCTTTGCAGATGATTAAGATCTGATCATTATGACAGGCCATAATCCATATAACTGATGTCACATTATAATGGGAAATGACACAAAGGCAGACATGCATGCACAAAGGGAAAACCATGGCAAGACACAGAGAACACGGCCCCCAAGCCAAGTAATGCCTGATGCTACAGGAGCTGGGGGAGAGGCATGTCCAGATCCTCCTTCAGAGCCCTCAGACGGGCGACATGCCGACACTGCCATTCTGGACTCCTGGCCTCCAGACCTGTGAGAAAATAACTTTCTGTTGTTTACACTCCCAGTTTGTAATACTTTGCTATGGCAGAACTACAAAGACAGCATCAATACCAAGCTGTCACTGATTTTAATGTCATGCAGACAAGTTCAACTAACCTATAATTAAAAATATGTTTGCTCTCAGGGCAGGGGCTGTAGCACAGCGGTAGAGCGCTTGCCTGGCGTGTGTAAGGCACTGGGCTCAATCCTCAGCACCACCTAAAAATAAAGATATTTTGTGCCCATCTACAACTAAAACAATATTTTAAAAAATGTGTTTGCTCTCTTCATACTTACCTGCCTGGTCACAGTACATCTAAAAAATTGTTTTTTGTGCAACTAGAAATGCTAGACAGTTTTTCTGGCATTTATCTAAATTGAGAGAAAAATATAAGCCCAATCAGGAGTGGTTAGAAAATGCCTAACAAGTCCTAGCATACAAATGATCAGAGTGAATACCATGCCTAGTAATAGAAAACACTGAAATAATGGATTATCCTGCTCAAATAAACTTACTTTATTTCTCATTATGCCCAAAAGCAAAATTAAATTTTATGGAGAACTTGGTTGTACCAATTTACCAAGATGTTGTGCCCAGCCAGACTGCGGCAAAATAGGTACTCTAAAATTTTAAGAGGTACACCATACATTAGAGAAAACTTGAGGAATAAAATCACATCATTTATAATAATAATTTTCATATTTCTAATTAGACTATATATCATGTACATTCATCTTTGCTGCTGTCATAATGGCTAAGAAACAGTTCAGACTGTAAATCACAATAAAAACAACTGTTCCCCCCCCCCCCCAATGGATACTTTTGGTTTCTTTTGATCTTTGAATATTATCAACATCACTATGTTGAAAATCTTCATTTTTTCCTTACTTCATTAAACAGATTTCTGGAAGCAGGAATTAAATTAAGGACATTTAATAACTCTTCCTAGTTTTCTAAGTTGCCGATAGCAGCTTATATTGCCATGATGCTTAAGAGCCATGATGTCACTGTGGCTCCTATAGTAAACTACAGAGGTGAACCACATCAACCATTAATGAAATTCTAACAAACACACTCAAAATTTGAACATCCAGTGAAGAACCAGAGCTCTGGAAAGTTTCAGTTATCATACAGAAATTGTTTAAGTTTTTAAAGCCTCAAGGAAAAAATAATGAACTTTTGTTATATTTAGTTTTAAGATATCAATCTAAATGTATATTAACACACTCCAGTAAACAAAAATATTTTCTGTGGGTCTTTTGTGATGGATTAAAACAAAATGAGGGAAATGGATTAAATAAAATAATCTTAGAAATGCATAGGAATAATGAGAATCCCAATAATCCTCTGAAACAATGAACAAATGACACTATGAAATGAGACTTCTACCTTTTATCATCTACAGGTGATGAATCACAGACTTTCAAAGCTTTTATCCACATTACATTATGGGTGGACTTTTAAGATTATGGATGATTTCTATGTGGCTATTTCCAGGTAGAGAATTAATTTGGATTTGGTGTAGATAAAATTCTTTAACACATGTATCAAGCTGCAGTAGAAAGTACTTCCCAAGGGAGTCATTATCTTACCTCAGCTACCTTTTCATTTGCCATTTCTAGCTGAGAAAGCAGCTCTTGGGTATGAAGTTTCTGTCGACTCAGCTCACTCCTATCAGAGAGAGAGAGAGAGAGAGAGAGAGAGAGAGAGAGAGAGAGAAACCCATTAAGTAATTTTTCCAAATCTAAAATTGAATCTTTATCAGTGAGACATATATTCATGTTTCGAACAAAAATATCATCTTGATGTGCAAAATAAAGTCACTAATAGACCACATCTGAAATTTTTAATTTCTTTATTATATATTCTAGAGATTAAATGCATGACAATGTAATATACTTAATACTACTAAATTGTACACTTAAAATAGTTAAGATGGCAAGGTTTTAGTGATACATATTTTGTCATAATTAAAAGTTTTATAATTAAAAACACAACTTATCACATGGACAATTTTGTTATATATATATTTTAGCATAATAAAGAGCAAAACAAAAATTATTTTAAAGGCATAGAAGCATTAAGCATTAAAATACTTATAAGACCTTAAGATAAATAAAAGCATACTCATTTAAACAGATATGATATTTGTTATTAGAAAATTTCATGAGTAATTGTGTTTCTTAGCTATGGTGTGCATTTTTTATGTTGGCAGAGGGAGGGCCTGGGGATTGAGCCCAGGGCCTCAAAAATACCAGGCAAGCACTCTAACACTGATCCACACTCCCAGGCCCAGTAAGCATGTTTGAGATTGCACATTCAGTGCTTGACAGGGGAGTTCAACTCTAGAAATTTAAAGTAACATGAACTTCTCCAATGTCACTTTGGTATAGTATATTCAAGACTGGTCTTGGTGGTGTATAGACTGTATTTTATTCATTCATATCCTTTATGCTTCATTAGCTGAAATCATCTGTGCACAGAACTGCTGTGGCCATCTTTTTTGTTTGTTTGTTTAAAGTATAAGAATTATATTGCTTTTGGTTAAAGATCATTTCAAGAGTCCCAGGTGAAGAGTAGATACAATGTATTCTTAAAAAGTAGTCAGAACAGGGCTGTGGCTCAGCAGTAGCACACTTGCCTGTCATGTGTGAGGCACTGGGTTTGATTCTCAGCACCAAATATAAATAAATAAAATAAAGGTCCAACAACAACTAAAAAAACATTTTTTAAAAAAGTAATCAGAACCAAGATCAAATCAACTTCTTAGTATTAAAAATGGTTAATTCAGAATTGGCTTCTGTCCTTTGACCTCATTTGTACTTCTTAAATCATCAAAAAATTTAACAATTCCAAAATAACTTGAGCTTTGATTTTTTCAAATAAGCCACACAAGCAGCTTAAAACTTCAGTCTCTTAAGTGTCCGACATTTGAGTGAAAAGTTAAAATTAGAAAGCTATTTATGATAAATATGTAGGCTCGAGAGAAAGGTTATGTTGCTTACTAACCAATTATAGTAAGTTGCTGAACACCCCTTGCGGCTGGTGCAAGCAGGTGGCGGTAAACATGCGTGTCGCCGTTACAGAACCAATGTATTAAAAAGGTGACTACTTATTCCAACTCAGTGGCACTGACTGAGGAGTGAGCGCCTATCACTGCCTCCATGCCAGCAAACTCAAATTTTATTTTAGCTTTATTTTGTGGTGATGACAAGACAGAATAAATTGTTGTGCTTTATTTATTTATTTATTTATTTATTTATTTTTTGGGGGGAGTTTCCCGGGATTGAACTCAGGGGCATTAGACCACTGAGCACATCCCCATCCTTATTTTGTATTTTATTTAGAGACAGGGTCTCACTGACTTGCTTAGCACCTCACTGTTGCTGAGGCTGGCTTTGAACTTGTGATCCTCCTGCCTCCGTCTCCCGAGCTGCTGGGATTATAGATGTGCACCACCGTGCCTGGCTATTGTGTTAAAAATTACTGCCTCCCAATGAAAGAAAAAAATAAAACAGAAAAACCAAAATGACTAAAGTGGCAGTCATCCATGCCAACTGTAACTAAAGGCAAAAACTAAACGCATTAGTCCCGATGGAAAACCACCTGTCAGCACAGCTGAGATCAGAGTGAAAAGTATGGCCCCTGTAGAGCGTCAACCAACGTGCAGTTCACAGAAAACCGGAAAATGTCTCCTGCAAAATCTGATGCTTAAGCTATTTACTTATTACTCAAGACAACTGTCTCAACGATCCATAGCAATAAATTCCCACAAATCTTATAATCAAAAAGATCAAAATCATTAAATAAATATACACTTGACTTTTTGCCTTTATAAATATTCATCTCTTTGAATAATAAGCTGCTACCACTGGATGGTGAACCACCTTATTATTCATCTTCATATGTTTATAATTTAGTATTTAGCAGCAGAGCTTGGTGATGGGGATGGTAACATCCAACACATTCACAGAGCTTCCCATCTGCCGGGTACTGCTTCCGGTACATTCAAAGATTGAATTTTAGTGAGATCCCATTTTTACATATGAGAAAATGAATTAACAGAGAAATTTAAAAGTTAAGAAACAAGCAAAGGTCATAAAGCTTGTTAGTTGTGAGGATTCAAAAACTTGATACTTTGAATCTAAAGTCTGTGCTTTGAATAGTTTTTTTTTTTTTTTTTTTTTGTGCTGGAAATTGAAACTGGGCCTAGCACATTAAGCCTGTGCTTTACCCATGAGCTATAGACCCTACCCTGCAAAGCCTGTGCTTTCAACCACTGCCTGAATGGCAACATGGCAGGCAAGGACTAAGGGTTTGCTAAATGGGTAAGTAAGTGTGTGTGAGTGTGTGTGTGATTCTAGGAATATAATTATTTATATACTTACTTGGAAACCGAGTAAGTTAGATCCTTACTTCTAACTTCTTCCCTAAATTCTAGTCATATTCAAACTTACTGTGTCTAATAGTCAACTTTTCATTTTGTCTTGCAAACCTATTTCTCATCATGCTACTTAATTTTTATATTGTCATCTTTGCCCCAATGTCTACATTAAAAATTTTAAAAGTCAACTTGTATTTCTAATTTTGTCTTAAATGCAACATATCATTTGCCCTGAAGAAGATTCTCTCTTTGAAAAGTCTTTCACATCTACTTTCCATTGCTATTCAGTGCTCACATAACAATGCAAATTCTTAGAACTCAATTTTTAGATTTAATGCAATGGCTTGGATATAAAATGTTCCCTGAAAAGCTCATGTGTTAGTTTGGGAATGTTTGGAGATGAAATTACTAGATTATATAACTTAATCACTGAATTAATCCATACATGGATTAATAATTTGAATAGATTAGGCAAAGGGCATGGTTACAGGAGGCAGGTAGTGGGGGCAGGCCACTGTGTCCCTGGCTCCTCACTTTCTCTGCTTTCCAGCTGCCATGAGTGGAGAAGATTTCCTTCTCTAGGCCCTTCTGCCACAATGACGATGTTCTGCCTCATCTTGGCCCTAGAGCAGGAGTTGGGCTGACTATGGACTGAGACTGCTGAAAGAGTGAGCCCAAAATAAATTTCCTCCTCTCGGTGATTACTGTCAGGCATTTTTGTTTTGACAATAAAAAGCAAACACACTTGGGATTTTCAATTTCAAGTGAAAAAATATATGCTAAGCAGGGTTGGGGATGTGGCTCAGTGGTTGAGTGTCCCTGAGTTCAATCTGCGGTACCAAAAAAAAAAAAAAAAAAAGAAAGAAATTTTATTCTTTATTGCTCAACAAACATTTACTGAGGAGCTACCAGAAAAATATTTTAGATAAGATTATTTTTATTTATTTATATTCTACTTCTTTCTACAAAGAACTTGAAGTATTTAACCATTTCCATCAGTCTTAGGGCTGTCTTCTGACTGAAATCTTAGAAGGTATTAAAAGATGAAGAGAGGGGCTAGGACTGGGGCTCTGGTAGAGCACTTGCTTAGCATGTGTGAGGCACTGGGTTCGATTCTCAGCACTGCATATAAATAAATAAAATAAATGTCCATCAACAACTAATAAAAAATATATATAAAAAAAGATGAAGAGATAAGCAACTTCCCTAACTCTGTCCCAGGACTTTCCTGGAGCCTGTCTGTAGGTACTAGTGACTCCCTCATTTCTGTCAGGAGATTTCATTGAAAGGATAAAGGAAAACCCCAGAGGGTGAATCAACTCTGTATGGAAGTTTCCTCTTCACTAGAGAACATAATTGAGAGTTCTTTGTATCATATGTGATGGAGGATAAACATTAAATACAACTTTCCAGAAATTTTCATAGTGGCATTATAGTTGAAATACTTGGCAAGTAAAGCTTTATATAACCTCTTCCGTGGAAATCTTTGAAAACAGAAACAGTCTTACCTATCAGGGATGATTTACGTGTAGCTTGCCAGAAGGAACAGAGATAGATGACATTTCCAATTTCTACGTGACATTATGGTACTTAAAGAATTTAATATGAATGTAAATGAAACTGTGCCCAATTTCTCTACATTTTCTGGCATAGAAAAAACTTCTACTAATTTAAAAGCACACTGGGAAGAATGAGGAGTCCCTTATGGTAATCACTAGAAATTGTCTAGCTCATTAGTGTCCCAAACATTTTTAGTTCACTTATAATGATTCATGTTTATGTGATACAAAATCCTAATCAGGTCTATAGAATATAATTTAGAAAAATAGTTGCAAAACATAATTTCTGGGTAAGTAAATGTTGGGGTTGAGTAAATAATTTGAAAACTATTATGCACTCACATTTATTAAAACAATAAATGCTTTCTAAAACACTAAAATCGACATTGATAAATGATCCCATCATGCCATTTGTGGGTTGTCAGGATTGCAGAATGCACTCCAGAGAGGACCCCACTGTCCTGTTTGCAGTTTACTTCTTCAGTTTCACTGTGGCAATGCTCCACGCAGGTGCGGTAGGCAGAAGGCCAGAGTCCTAATCTGAGACCTGTGGATGGGCGTCAGGTACATTCACAAATACCCTGAAATCATGCAAGATTTTGTGTGCTTACTTACCTTTTCTGGGAAGAGGTCCACAGATTTAGTCAGATTTTCGAAGAATTCTGAGGCCTAAAGAAGGATAATGTCCAAGACTTTCCCCTGGATTTAGTATTTTTTTTTAAGGTATA